CCTTTTCTGGGGGTGGGGGGGGTGAAGCCAAAATAAATATGGGGGGTGAATTAAATGTCAAATTAAATACTGGAGGTACACGTACTAGCCGGTCTCCCCCCCCCACCCGGTTCCTATGCCCCTGGCTGGCATCCCCTTCTGGGTGTTCTGTGCTGTCTGGGATAGTCACCAGCCCAGTCCCCCTGTAAATTGTACCTGTTTCTACTTCCTTCATTCCCAGGTAACTTCATGTATTTCATGAATTTCGATAAGTGGCTCCTGCTGTCCAGTCGACTCGTGGCAGGTCAGTGTATCGTCAGCTGCCACATTTGTATACTGGCCAGAGTCCGAGCCAAAGTGGTTCTTAAATGCAGATGGACAGAAAGGAGGCTGACCGTGTGTGTGCTCATTTCCAGGTATCGGGACCGGTGCTGGCGCCTCCATTTTTGGATACCTGACCCGTAGTACGGCCCCTGAAGATCGTAGCACAGTGTTTGCAGCAGTCATGGCCTGCCGGCAAGCTGGCCTCCTTATTGGTCAGTGGCATTTCCAGCATCTTCATGCTTCCTGTCACAATGTGGCCTTGTATTTTGCTAGTGTCTACAGCATGCCTTTATCCATTCCTCTTTCCAAAACAGGTCCGGCTTGCAACATATTTTTGAGGTTGTGTAACTTCCAGCTTGGACCCTTTGTTGTAAATAAGTTCACTGCACCAGGGGTATGTAACCATACCGGTACTTATATTGACGTGTTTTTTTTTTTTGTCTGCATGTGGAGTAGCATGCTAGCCTAGCAGCTTAGTTCTGCAGCCGTTTTAGTTTATTAATTTGTTTTATTCTTGCTGAGGCTATGTCACATGCTGCCCCTTAAAACACGGCCGGTTATCTGCTGAACTGACCCACAATTTACATTTTTCATGTTCATGTTAACTATTCTCACTAAAAATTAGACAAGAACTAATAGTGGGGTACTCATTTTAATTCTGCAGAATTAAAAGCATTTGGTCAAATTAGATGAAAGAGCCTTAAATTATACTTATTTCTCCATCCAGTTCTTTTTATAGCACGCGGTTGGTATTTAGTGAAGGAATGTATCCTCCTCAGTTTCTCTAAGCTTATCTTTGGCCAGTGATTTGGTTGTACAGATCCCAGTCCCAGCATTTTGGTGTGATTGCTGTCTTCTCTTCTAGCTCTTCATGTGCCTGCTGTGGATCCTTCTTCAGCTGGTAGTGCTGTTAATGTACTGGGACCTGCCACCTGAGAATTCTGGGTCCTGTATCACCAGGGATGTGGACGATGTGGAAGAGGACAGAGAAAAGGAGCCCCTGGTGGGCGCTGAAGAGCCATCTGAATCTTACGGCACTGTTTCCCCGGGCCCATCAGAACCTGTTCCCAATGGTAGTCTTCCTCACAGTTCCCCACCCTCTTCACATTCGGAGTTGCCTAGTCGGTCTAATCCCTTCAGGAACTTCAGTGCCAGCAGAGGTGAATAATTCTCTCGTTCCATCTGTCTTGCTATCTGCTGTACATCACTCTTTCTGTTATGTATGTTGTGTCCATGCTGCATTGCTCATAGGTCTTTCTCTGCAGAATTCTTAAGGGAGGAAGTAGTGGTTCTGCTCACGGCCCAGTTCATTACACTGTTCAACCAAACCACACTAGAGGTACATCCAGTCAAACATTTCCACGACCATTATCTATACCTCAGAGTTGCTGGGTTTGTTAACAAAGAAAAACTTGGTTCGTATTCTATTCCCTTGTCTGTATTTTTCTCCTGCAATATAGACCATGGTGACTCCTCTGACCCAGAAGTACTTCAACTTTGGCGAGCTGGAGAACAGTGTCATGTACTTTGCATGTGGGGTGGAGGTGATCGCTGGGTTCTTCTTGGTCCGCTGGCTTAGCCCCCGTGTGGGTGACCGCGCGGTCCTGGCCGTGGGGCTGATTGTTGGAAACATCTCCTGTGTGTGGTGCCTTATTTTTTTGACCAACCCCCAGGGTGAGTACCCAGTTAGGGTCAAACACTCTGAACCATTTGCATCGTTGTAAGAAGTCATATGATCTCAAAATACTACAGATTCAAACCCTTAACTCTGCATACTTACTGATACAAAATTATGTGCTTATATGAACTGATATTTACTCACCTGGTTCATCTTGTCCCATTTTTTTTCACAGGTGGGTTCCAGTGGCAGTTGACAGAGTTCATAATCGGAGTGTTCCTGCAGGTTCTAGGGTTACCTTTTGTTGCGGTTGCCCAGGTGTCTCTCTTCTCAAAGGTGACTGCAGAGAAGACACAAGGTGAGCGGCAGTGCCCCCTAATGGTCATGTAGGTATGTTCTAAGCAGTGACTTTTCTGTTTGTAAATGGCCCTTGTACTATAGGTCCACGACAGCAAACTCAAAGGTCATGCAGTGTCTTTATGTAAATTAACTAGGGCTGTGAGGCGATTAATCTTTTAAATTGTAATTCATCGCATCAAGAGAGTGATTAATCACATGTTTGGTCTCATTATATTTTGTTGAAAATTAGCTAGACACATCTCAGACCGAGACAAACTCAGAGCAAGCTTAACTACCAACAATAAAAAGTCACAGGTGTGACTAAGAGAACAAATTAACTCAACAAGGTCATAAAAGAAGTTAACAAATAACCAGGAAATCCAAAAGTAGTAATAATCTATAAACTAAACTGCACATAAAGAAGGTGCTTAACTACAAATAAAGCAATGTGTGATCTACCAATGAACGGAACTGACTGTAAGGACCTGAAAAAGAAAACACAGGTTGAATAAGATTATCGGCAGCTTGCCTCTGCCAAACCCCTAACAATAACTGAAACATATTATTCACTTCCATCAAAAATACTACTTGAAAGCAAGTGCAAGCTGAGTTTCAGTGCTTTCAAAATGGCATTGTTTAAGTAAGGATGTCAAATTACAGGTAATTCGGGACTTCACGAGCTATTTTGTTCCAAATTATTGCTCATTAATTAAGAACAATGAATTACGTGCAAATTTCTAAAAATATATATGAAAATGATTTTTTTTGGCACAGAAAATTGTCGTACTCATATAAACTGTAAATAGAAACCTGGAGCTCGGAAAGCGAGAACTTCCTATATTTATTTTTCTTCTTAATCGTACATCTTCCCGTATATTCAGCAGGCAGATTGAAAAACTGTTTTCTAAAACACAACACAACATGATGACTATGGTAAATGTTTCTGTTACGACGTCTGCAGCAGCAACAGTAATCAGATACTTCAGTATATAGAAATTTGTGCCAATGAACACTCTGCTACATGTGCTTTAACAAAATGTAACTGGTTGATTCTACTGTTATTCTAGTTTTGTTGTTCTTTGTGATTGAGAATGAGTAGCCTTCTATAAATGCTTTTTTTACAGGTGTTAGATAAATTTAGCTTAAAAATACATTTTTATTCAATGTAAATTGTAATGTACTATACAGTAGCCAAATTATAATAATTTATTGTCCTAACCATATAAGCCACAAAAAGCGTTTATCTGTTTACACCTTTGCAGGATTCAGTCAGGGTATCCGTCGTTCTGTTGGGGGACTGGCCACCATCCTAGGTCCCCTTTGGGCTGGGGGACTTACAGAGAACCTCTATGTCATGCTGGGAGTTATGATGGTCCTACTCATGCTGCTGACAGTAGGTTCCGAGTTGTATTTGTGTGCTGAATAAAGGTGCAGGTCATAATTCTGTGGAAATACAAAATGGATGACATTATGTATCAAAGCATATAATAATAAATGTCAACATTTGTAAATGTATATTCAGCTTGTTTTAATTCTTATTGTACTGCAATAATAGGACGTAAATTATCCCCTGCTTTTCCTTTCAGATCATGATGGTTTTTTCCTACAACCGCTTGGTAGAACCAAGCATTGCACAGAATGCAGACAGGTCAGAGGTTTCTGGGTAGAACTGTTCCCTTCCGTATGGGAAAAGCAAAGAGGTAAGTCATTTTACTATAACTCAATTTGTGTTTTACATATTGAATCATATAGTAGCATGTCTGCTCCCTATATTCTGACACTGTCATTCTAACACTGCAGGTGTTTGAGTTGCCCTAAACAACACAAAACTCCCTGAAGAGATTTGGATACGTGGATCTGGATTGGACGAGCAGATGGGATGGATTTAGATGGGACCTTGAAGCAGTTTTGTTAATATAATATTGTGAAAATATGTAATATGTCATTATTGCACAAAAAGAGCCCAAATTATTAAGTAGCATGTGCCAAACCTTTATTGTAACATTTTCTGAATGAATCAGAACAATAAAATAAGTAACACATCCAGATCCAATAGACTTATCCCATAGATACATGAAATATGCAAATGCCATGTAATAATTAAAACATAGGTTGCTACAGTAAGTGGGCTAGTGTAAATGCACTACAAATTCAGTACGTTCCTCATGAAGACCTCTTCTTTTACCTTTTCTGGTAAAATGTTTCTAGTTGTTATCAACTGTGCATTATGTTCCATTTCTTTGGTATAAACATGATTTGTCAAAATCAATTTTATAATTTTCTAGCTTACAACACTAACATAAAAATAACATAGTAAAATAAACATATGACTGGTTTTTAATACAAAAAGGTATTAAAATGACCTTATTGGTGTCTTGCTTTGCTTGGTCTTACATCAGTCACCATAGGGGCACGATAAGCAGATTAACAGCATAGGAGCCACAAGGCTGCCTCACTAACCATTGGGCCAGTGCATTTTTTGGAACGTAAAAGGCATGAACATGCTAAAATTTAACCTGCGTTTTTCAACAGATTTTAAAATGCACTTGAGCAGACCATCATATCTTCCTGTGATTTTGCAAAAATACACTTACACTAAGAATTAAAATCCCATAGTACACAACAATTAATATTCTTTAAAACACTTGCTATATAATATTACTATAAGGCTGCTTGCAATAAATATAATATTGCAAACCTGAGGATTATTTACTTGCATTACACACAAAAAAGGGAAGGCAGGTCAGTGCTATAGGGAGCAGCCTAAACGATTCATTTGAAAGGTTTTAGGGATAAAAACTGCTAGATCTTCTAAAAAGTTTCTAATATACTGTACCAGCATGTACCATCAATATGAAAAACATCACTTTGTAGGACAAAAGAGATTCCAGTTAGCCCATTTTCTATGAAAAAGGGGGTATGAAAGGCAATATATAATTATCGGGATTTATTTGTCAATCAGTATTTTGGGATAAACTGGCACAGTATGTTAAAGCGAACATTTAGGAAACAATTATGTTTTCACCAAAAGTCATACCATGACACTGAATTGTTGCGATCGCTGTTGGTTTATCTGTTTGTGTGTTTGTTTGTTGGATACTGATCCTCGGTGAATGACCATGGGCAGAGGCTGTACCCCATCAGCATATTGACTGCAAGTTAAACAAATACAGAATTTACTTAGAGAAGCTTTCAAATAAAATTATTAGGTAAACAAAGTCTTTTATAATAAATTTATAATGTCAACACTTTTGAATGTATGCCCTGTTACTGTGTATTGCTTGTACTTTATAAATGTCTTTGTCTCCCTCCTACTGGGTTGGGAAACACACTGACCCAGAGTAAAGGAATGAGTAGCTGGTGGCCAAGGAAGGTCACAGCCATAGTAAAACATCTGCCTCAGCAGACAGCAGTCTGGCCAAGCTCCTCTGCTGGATCCCTGTGTCCTGGCCTGCTGATCAGCAGGCCATGTTTGGCATCAGTGTGCTAGATCTTAAAGCTGATGGGAGCTGTGATCAATGAGACCCGGCAATCATTAACCCCGATTAACTTGATGCGCTGCAGTATGAAAATCAAACGCATGGTATAACTCATTGTCCTGCCGCTGAACTGCAAGCAGATGATTCAGACAAGGTGAGTGGCAAGAGGAGGAGTGAATCACCACTTTTCTGAGGAGGACAAGTGGGGAGAAATGAAAAACCCTTGCTGCAAAGGAATTTGCTTAGGTATTTTGTAGATAATGAAATATTTATTATGCAGGTTATCAGCTATGTGAATAAATACAGATTTTAAAATTTATTTTACTAATGCAATTACAAAGATATAAGATATCGGGAGCACCATAGACCCATTTCCAGTGATTTCCTGACCCCCCATGCTCTCCAAATCCATCTGTCTATTGGATTCATAGGAAGAGTCACCAGAGATATAAATGTCACTACCAACATAAATGAACCTCTCAGTGTGGTCTCCCACATTACATTTGCATCAGCAGTCATAACCAAGTGTGCAAGTTCCTCACAGAAACTGCATGCAAACTCATTAGAAACAGCCTGTTCTTGCAGTCTGGCCAAGTCCATCCTTATCCTCCTAGTTGGTGGGAGCCTACTGGACTTAAGCTGAATCTTCAGAGTAGCAACAGCAAGTCTGTGGTCGGACGTCATCAGGAGGAGTCGATCTGCCATAGTAATAGCTACTCCCTGAGAATGGCAACCATCAGAGTGACCAGACCAATAATAGGTGTACCCACCTACAGAGATCTGGCCACTCCCTGGTCTGCATACCTCAGAGAAATGTGAGTTTATGAAGCTCCCCTGACATCAGAGGAAGATGGTCATCATGTCAAAGACACATGATGTTCCACCCACTCAGATGGGCTGCTTCAGATAAAGACCCGAATGCTGCCATACAGCAGGCGATGCCTCAGCACCACACCAGTTCCAATCCCCAACAGGCCTGACCCTATTGGCTCTCCAGCTGTTTCTTGCTGTATGACTGTGAGACATGGACGCTATCCATTGACCTGAGATGAAGACTGGACTCCTCTGGTACTGTGTCTCTTCAGAGAATCCTTGGGTAGCACTGGTTTGATTTTGTGTCGAATATGAGGTTTGCTCAGGGATTTCTGAAATGAGGCACATTGCCTGCATTGTGAGGGAGCGTCAGTTACGGCTCTAGGGCCACGTGGCGTGTTTCCCTGAGGGTGATCCAGCTCACAGGATCCTCATTGCTGGGGACTCAAGCGGCTGGACCAGGCTAAGGGGACACACATGACACCTGGCTGCGGCAGATAGATGGGTACTTCTGGAAGGTGGGACTGGACCATGTTACAGCCTGAGGGGTCACCAGCTGCGATCCTGAGGTATTTTTTTGTGTGGTGGGTGCTGCAACACCAACCTGACACCAACTTAGCAAATTGCTACATCATGTTACACTCCTGTTACGCTAAACAATTTAATTCTTCATAATTTTTCCAGTACTAAAATGACTGCACGGTCTATGCAATGGAAAACTCATTAATCTTGGTTTACATCAAGATAGGAAACTGGTCTACTAGTAATATACATTACAGAAAATATTTTACAGCATTAAAATCTTCTTGTAGAGATAAGCATACTAAGCAGAAAGCAAAAACCAGTTAAAATTCTTAAACGGAAAGTTTCACAGAAATCACTCATCGAGTAATTAAGTGAATTTCCTTACCTGCAGCCAAAAGTTTCCATTTAGTTAAATGGATGAGTTTTATTTTTAGAATTTCCATTACTCTTCATTTTAATTGAAGGTGAAAGTGACTGTTGGAGAAATGTATATAGATAAATCTTATACTTTAAATGTTTAAATGGTACATTTCTAAAAATTGTATGTGTTATATTGTAATTGGTTTTTGGAAATGAATCAGTTATCTGTGACAGAGAGAGACTTGCTGAAAAGGATCGACTGGAATAGATAGTAATCAACATAAAGTTATAGCCTGATTTATGATTTTGGAGTTGATATGGTAGGTATGGTTATAGGGGCACGTGAGTGGCGTTAATTAGAGGTGATCGCAAACCAGTGACCTGTGTAAAGCAGTTTTGATTTATTGGTCAGCGTTGTGTTGTTATTTCTTTCTGATTAATTAGTGTTGTTTGCTAATTGTTAAATCTGCTAACTTTTGTTATACCATTAAGCTATTCATGCTTACCAATTTACATTGTAATGTGTTATTTAGCAAAAATGACACATATACTCTATTTATATTCTCTAGGGCTTTGAATTCTTGGCCTGAGAGCTCAGTGTTGAATTTCTTTGATTAAAATCTGATTATAAATTGAATTTAATACTTTACCGGATTTAAAAACCATTAAAATGTGAAAGAATGATTTGGTCCTGCAAAGAAATGGATTAGTACAGTATTTCCTGAAATGTTTTGTTTTACTGCTGGTCATCCTGTCCAAGGGTAACTAACAGAAACCAACGCACCAGCATATACAGTGAATCCCCAGCTAGCTGTTAGCACTTTAGCATCTCAGCTCCAGGCTTAGGGTTTATATCCCACCTCCTGCTATATCTATGTGGAGCGTTCAGGTTCTCCACCTGTGTGCAGAGGTTTCCTCCGTGTGCTCCAGTTCCCTCCCACAATGCACCCTGCAGTGGACGGGGGACTCCACCCAGTGTGTCATCTGCCTTGTGTCCCATGCTTCTGGGGATAGACTCCAGGTCCAACACAATCCTTGTTATGGATAAGTGGTTATAGGTTAAAATATAGATATTATAACAATGACACCTTATTGATCCCCATGGGGAAATGATCTTTCTGCCAACCCTGTCCTGCTCTCAGTGACACACCGACACACATGCAGGTGACAGCAAACTTGGCAGTGGAGGGCAGTGACCTGCAGCTGTGCCCATGGAGCTGGGGGTCAAGGGCCTTGCTCAAGGGCCCAGAGACGTGCAACTGTTCTGTTCCGAACTGGCAACAATTATTAGTTTTAGATAATATTGCATCATAAGTGTGTTTTTTCAAGTAGTCACTCAAGCTGTACTTCGCCAAAAATGCCAAAGAAATAAAGTATCTTAAAAAATACATGGACACCGTTGTTACTGTCGCAGCTATGCATGGCCCTTAACTCTGTTGACAGCACATGGCTTCTTGTACATTAGTGCGGTATTATTGGTTATGAAAGATGGATTCATGGGTACCGTGATACATACCTATTCTAAAATATATACTAATCAATTTAATCTAATTGTTGCAATTTTAATCATCCACTAGAGGTCAGTGTGTAATCCTATTTTGCAACTGGACCAGAATAAATGAGTATGAAAACTATAATAATAATCGCCACTATTATCATTATTATTATTATTATTATTATTTTTATTATTATTAATAATAATAATAATCACCATCATCATTATCATCATTACTGAAATAAACAGCCAGGTCATCTATATTAATATAATATATATTTTTAATCTTTTTAGTTACCAGTTTAAACCATAATTGAAAGTGTTGTGTATTCTTCTTCTGGTTTTAACTATTTGCTTTTTCTTCTGCGCAAGGTACATAACTGGCAAAAAAGAACTGGCGTGGGTGTAACAACATAATGAGTATTGTATACTGTACCCTGTCACAGCCAAATATGCCGTAAAGGTTTACAAGGTATTTTGTTTAGACTTAAGATGGTACTCTGCTCTTTTCTGGAATGGTACTATTCTGGAATTACATTTACTTTGGAATTTCTTGGATGGGCAGTTTTACGTATAAAAGATTGTAGCAAAAACTCACATTTATAATATGTTGCCCGAATGTTGTAATTTTTTATCTTCCTCAATTTCAAATATGACAAAACACAAAAACATTATTTTCTCTTTGTCTAAATACAAAATAA